GGAAGCTAAGCCCAAGCGACTGGAAAAGTGAACAGCGTGACTCTTTTAATATGCTGAAGTCCGCTCTCCTAGAAACAGTGGTGCTTGCACACCCAGATTTCAATCGTCCATTCATTCTATCAACGGATGCTTCGCTGGATGGATTAGGCGCAGTACTTTCTCAGATCCCTGAAGGTGAGACTAGAGCCCGTCCTGTGGCATTTGCCAGCAAGGCCCTCACACGTGCCCAAAGCAATTATCCCGCTCACCGTTTAGAGTTTTTGGCTCTAAAGTGGTCCATCTGTGAAAAGTTCAGCCATTGGTTGAAAGGTCATTCTTTTGCAGTATGGACAGACAACAACCCGTTAACCTACATCTTAACGAAGCCAAAGCTTGACGCGTGTGAGCAGAGATGGGTTGCTAAGTTAGCACCATATAATTTCAGCATTCAGTACATCCCAGGGAGCAAGAACGTAGTGGCAGACGCAATGAGTCGGCAACCTTTTGTTCAGGGACGCATAAGTCAGAGACTTGTGTCTGAACCGTATGAGACGCTGATGGAGCAGGCGGAGCAGTTTAAGAAAGATGTTGTCCAACATGCATTTCGCATTAGTGCTCAGTGTCAGTCTGCTGAACCCCAATGCTTGCTTTCTTCGGATGAAGTGTCAGCCATACTGGATAGTCGGGCAGAGTGGAGTGCAGGACCAAAGGATAAAGTGCATCACTGGCTCATTCAGGACGTACACAACTTGGTCCCAGCAGGTCAGGACACATTACCAATGTTTACACTGGGAGAGCTTCAGAATAAACAGTTAGCAGACCCTGTCTTGGCCAGAGTTCTTTCTTATGTCACTCGTGGCAGAAGGCCATCAAGACGTGAGAGGACAAAAGAGGCGCCAAGGGTTCTGAAGACTCTTAAACAGTGGGAAAAACTAAAGCTCCTCGACGGGATTCTGTACCGTGTGTGTAAAGATCAGCTCACAGGAAAGAAACGATGGCAATATGTTGTTCCTACTTCACTGACTGATCAAGTCTTGACAGGGATACATGACAAAGCTGGCCATCAAGGCCAATCCAGAACACTCTACCTGGCTAGAGAAAGATTCTTCTGGGTCCAAATGGAGCGAGACGTC